CACAGCTAATCCATGTTTTCAGCTACAGTGTGAACACCTACAAGTTACCTGCACAGACATTCCCACCTTCCAAAACAACTGGGCAGCAAGACGCTGTTCATCTTGCTAGAGATGAAGCTTAGCCAAAAATATAGATTCAGGTGAGGATTTATGGAATGTGACTACTTCTTTAAGTCTCTGCCTCTCACCAGGCACCGACCAGAAGCCTTGTGCCATTTTGCCAAACACTTCAGCTTGTTTCCTATTTGTTTCAGGATCCTTTTTACTAGGGTCTCCAGAAATCCTCAGTTTCATTTCAGCTGATCCTACAATGTTTTCCTACCTTCATTCCCCACTTGCTTCTCCCATTTGTCTAATACAACCCCCCTGCTTTCTTCCCATCATTCTGCCATGATTAATCTGAGAATCTTCTCCAGTACTACAGCCTGTAAAAGCCATCTGTGTTTTTCATACCAGCTCTCTAGCAGTTTTCACATTTCATCTGCTTTACACTGCTCTATGACTATTATTTACATCTATAAATTGATCCATTCCCTCTCCACTTTTTCCTTTGAGAGCCAAGGATATCATTTGCTGAAGAGTGCTGAACCACAAGCAGTGGGACTCTGTGTGCTTAAAGTACCTCGGGAAAATCAGCTTGCCTCTAGATGCCAAAAGAATTTACAGCAAAATTGTTATAAACATCAGCAAGGCTAGGACAGAGCAAGTCAGGGATCTTTAGCATCAAACCACACAGTAGGACCACTGAACCTAAAAAAGCCATCATGCATGAAGAAAAAGCTCCTTTGCGAGACGAATCATTGAAAGGGGACCAGAAACACCCACCAATGAATCAGTGGATGTTGCACTTCCCTCCCTAATACCATTCAAGTGCCAGCACTGGGGGATAATGAAAGAAGTCAGACTGATCTTGGCTGTTACAGGCCAGACACAGAAGTCCCACATGGATTCTTTGTTTCCACCCCTCCTCCAGCAGAGATCAGAATTGGGCCCAACTCCTCTCCTAGCAAGCAGCAGTGAGTCACAGACCATACCGAGACAGCCATTTGACTAGCACTGAGCACAGTCTCCAGCTATTTCATCCCCTCCCTCACTGCTGCTTCCCTGCTGGGCTTCATTAGCGTCAGCAGAATGTGATAAATGTGCCTGACAAACCTAATATTAAAGTTTTGCCATCAAGACCCAATGCTGCAGAACCACCTGCTTCTAAAAGCCAGCCTGCTGCCCTCCTTGTCCTCAGGTGGCCTGGGCCCCTTCTTGTCCCAAAGGACTACAGAGGAAAATATCCCCTCTCCACCCCTATCAAAGACATCAGTGAGCATTAGTGAGAGCAGAACAGATCAGGCAAAGGCAAAATGCATTCTTGGGACCCCAGAGAAGAGTGGTGACAGCACTGAATCTATCCTCTCACTGGCTTTTACAGTCCCACAGAAGGTGCTGTTGGACAGGAAGAGGGGAAATGTGTGGTGGGCCACTGTTGGATGACCAGCCCACAAGGGAAACTCCTTCTGATTCACCCGATAGTGGAGCCCCACAGATGGGCTACCACAGACACTAGGAGATCAGAGTTCCTCCCAGTACATTGTCCCAGCCATCCATGAGGTAGGGACCAAATTCCCCTCTAGATTGTGCTGGTGCAGATCCAGCAGGTACGTGCCAGCTTTACACCAGGTAAAGGAGCTCAGTAATCTCTGTGCTAAGTCCCTTTTCTGTAGGGAGAACTGCTGCAGATCTCCCTGCACCCCCTCCTGCAACAGGGCCTTGCTGTCAGCACATAACGCAAGGGGAAGGCAACAAAGTGCCAGAAGAGCAAGCAGAGCACCTGCAGCTGGGTAATTACCAGCCAAGCCTGGGCACATGATGATGCTGTGCACTGAACCCTGCCTCAGCTCAGCCGCTAGACCACTCGGGAGGGCAACAGAGGGGCACAACCAGGCAAATGCTTGGATACCACAGCTAAATGTTAATGTCTCATAATGAGGGGGCCCTGGTGCCAGCTGCTATCAAGGACTTGGTGATCCTACTTTGACGAAAGCGCTACAAACACGTCACTGACCTTTCAGCCAGCTGCAGTGAGCCAGGAAATGCTGGCCTGAGCATTTGGGAAGGAGAGGGAGGCTGAAAGGGGTCACTGAGCTAGGAAGGAGGAGGATAATGAGTAACTGCGGCACTGCTCTAATGGTACCCATCTAAGCATGCCACACGCTATCAACTTCAGAGCTTGGGTTCCTTGCAGCAGCCTGTAGAGAGGAAGCAGATACTATTCCTCTGGGGATGTATGCCCTAACACTACCCTTTTAATAAGAAATAAGATCTCTGCTGGTACAGGAGAAATAACCCAGTAAGCTAGGTAACAATTTACCATTGGGATGATCAACACATGCCAACCTGCTGCCTTTTTGATACTTCCTTCCACCCTATATGGAGCATTTGTCATACAAAGGAACACTCAAATCACTTCAGAAATGGGTACAAAGCCATTTCCTGTCTCCCAAATATTTTCTACTGTCCTCAGGGTTCCTCCTTTCTTATAGACCGAATTTTGTTTTTGACGTCTCTACCTTAACTGAACCACCCCAATGGCAATTTTTGAAATTGCTGTCAATGTTCAGAGACTGAGTTTCAATGCCACTCTGAGCCCTGAGAAGATCCAGAACATAAAGCAGAGACTTTTGCTGGATGGCTTTCCATTTCTAACTACTTCTTTTTGCTGCACTAAATCTCATTCGAACCCAGCTGCTGACTAAATAGACTGAAGCTGTCCTCACTGTCTAGGTTGTGCAGCACTCTGAAATGCACTCACATTGAGTGCCATTGTTTTGGGAGATGGAAAATCCTTTGTTCTGCTTATGGACAGTATCCAGCTGCAACGCATTAGTATGAGAGGCAATGACATGAATTGCAACAAGGAAAAATTCAACTAGATATTGTTTCTTGAAGATTTTTCAGAACTTAACTTGACAAGGCACTGAGCAATTTGATCTAAGTTGGCTCTGCTTTTAGCCCAAGATTGTACCACAGACCTCCAGAAGTCCTTTCCAACCTTAATTATTCTAATTTTACCAGCATAGTCATAGATGAGGACTGTGCTAGTGTATATATTTCCAACAGTTACCAGAGAGACAATTCAGAAGTCCCCTAAAACAAGTTCAGAGATCTTGAGGTCAGGAAGATTTATTATCCATATACATGCAGACTTGTGACAAGCCAATCAAACCAGCAAAACAACCCTAGGCTTTTTCAGAGAAGAGATGAGCCTGAAACTGCCCTGACCTTCTCTTACTGTCTTGTTACACTGCAAAGCACACACCTCAAACCTCCAAAATGATTATTTCATTTTCTAATAAGATTCAGATCGAATGCGATTTTAATCAACATCAACAACAAAAAAATCCCCGCACTGTAATAACATCAGACCTCCCTTTCTATCATAGAGGGATGTTTATAAGCTGTCTCTTTAGAATACCCATTTCTAGAGACACAAAACAATTATGTCTTAAACTGATCTGCAGGTGAAAAAAACACATTAAATGCACTGGCACATCACAGAATTATTTTTTCCCAGCTTTCAGTACCATCAAGACTGTTAACCTCAAAGATCAGATGGAAAGTGCCAGATGGTTCTTCATTTCCATTTCCTCCATACAGATCCAGCTTAACGGCTTTTAACTTCCTGCATCACACATGTGCAAAAATGCAATGAAAGACCAAAATCTATTATTGCATACTCAAGAACACTTCCATTTTTCAGTGGGGCCAAACTTCAAGCCCCTACGAAACACGCAACTTAACAGATTTTATTGCTGCTCTTCCCCACTGCCCCCAAACCAGAAAGAGAGCCATTTCTTGGTATGGAACCTAGTAAAAAACTAATTGGAACAGATGGGGGGGTTGGAGAATTGGTTGTCTAGATACATCTGCATCAGGGCACCCACACGTCTCCCAGGTGCTTTTACAGTAGAGGGGAGTCTAGCCAACAGCAGTGATTTAAATACCCCCAAGACCCTGGCTAAGAACTGATTCAGTTTCTTCTGCTTCCCCTAACGTTTCACAGAATTCCTTTTATTTGAAGCTGGGGCTTCAATTCATTAAAACACAAAACAACACACAAAAAACCCCACAACCAAAAAACACAGCAAACACATACTAATCCTGCAGCTTTTTAATATCCCTGTAACTGTACATGTGGCAAGAAAGACGTCAGAGCTGCGCTTCTTTTCAGACTTAATACAAATTGGGTGCAATAACCTGAGAAAGAACTCATAGAGGAAATGTTTTAAGCTGGATCCAGGGGGAAGAGGGACTTCTTTCTCAGCTTAAGCCATTTGGAAGCTTTCTGTGCTTGCCAGCCTAGTTTCAGCCACACTCCCTGTCACTCAAGCCAGTAACTAACGCAACTTACTTGTCATGTTTTTAGGATGTGGATTTCCTTTCCCCAAATCACACTCTTTTGTCTCATAGGTTACTAATGCCATATTCCTATGTTAGGCAATAACACTTAGTTCTTACATAGGCGTTTACGAGACCCCTGTCCCTCTGATTTGTTACTTCGCAGTGACAAAAGAACCAGGTGAGTGTGTAGTGGATACAGTTTGCTTCCTGTCTCACTTTACACTTGTCTCACAATTATTTTTCTCTGGATGGAAAGGAAAGGTTTAGCAGTCAACCCAAGGAACACTGAGCTAAGCAAACTGACATATGCAGGTAGCACCAAGAGAGCAGGCTGCAGAGACCTTCAGATTCGCAGCAACAGAATGATGCTGCATTGCCTAAGTGTAAAATGCTCCTTTTATTCGCCATCAGAAAAGAAAACTGTTTCCTCCCCTCCTCCTGGGAGGATGAAAACAGATCAGAACCTCAAACCAATCCTTGCACTGGCAGGAACTCAAAAGGTAGACTTGGGAGGAGTTGGAGGAAGATATAAAGGCTGGTAGCTGGAGACAGAGAGCAACACTGAACTGGAGAGACTCAAGGGGAGGAGGAATCAGAGACACCAAAACATGAAGATGAACCTGAAACTTCTTTTTTGCCCTGGATTCCTTCTGCTGCTTATTGTCAGTGAAAACCAGGCAAGGGCCAGGCCCATTTCCAGCTTACAGGTAAGTGGCGGGCTGCGCAGTAGAACCAAAAGAAGCTGGTGCTTCTTTAGGACTTAGACACTTCAGATTAGCTCCGTTTCTTCCAACCCCAGCTAAAGCAGTAGGAGACACTCAAAGAGATCATGACAGCAGGAATCCTGAGGTATGCAGACACAGGGTTATTAAATGGAGGGAAACTAAAGTAATCAATTACTGGATTTAAATTTCTGATCACATGAGGCAATTGAAAGGAAAATGTTTTTTTCCTGTGGGGTCAATTTGGGGATTGCAGATTTAGGGTCATCCTGTGACCGAGTGAAGCAATAAACTTTTGGAGCAAAAGGAATTTTTCTGGAAGGACTCCAGTCTAGAGTCCTAGAGCAGTCACCTGCATGCTCCTCCCTGAAGCCCTGGGTTTAAGCTGAAAAATGAATTAATGGGTTGTACCTGCATGATCTCCTCCTCAGCTCAGTAATGCAGTCCCTGCTTGTGAGTCCCAGAGGTGGAACATGAGAAAGTGCATATATGTGCGTGTGTGTGTGTGTATTTGTGTGCACAGGAATTCCAAGTCATTAGGAAAACACATTTCAGCTACCTGACTAGGCATCTGGTATTCTCAAACATGAAATAAGGTCCCAATCTGTAAAGAAATATGTAATCCTTCTAGCACGAATTTCAGCATGTCTCCTGTCATTGCATTGCTTCTCTTCTGATTCCAAGGTATCAATCATTTTTGCTTGTTCCTTATTCACTCTTTTCCAAGACTCTTTCATTGACTTTCAGAAGTTATCCCATACCCCAGATCCCCAGCTCCAGGAAAGACTTAACTGGCAGTTTGTCAGCTCAGAACCGTATGATACAATAACAGCATAGAGCCTTAGAGCATTTTGAGAGAGCATACAGTGTTAGCTCAGAGAAGCTTGGTGAGCCAGAAGAAACTAAAGATAACCATCATCAGCTTCAGAAATACTTCCATAATTTCGTCTTTTGATAAACATTCAAAATAAGTTTCTCCAAACTTAGTACTGAGCATGGATTATGCGAAAATAATGACAGAATTCCCAGAACCCCTCCTTTTTTTCTTCTCCTCCCTCTCCACCATCTACCTTTCCCTTTTTTCAGAGTCTGTCCAAACTGTTAGATGATGACCTGGAGCATCCCCTGGTCTCACAAGAGAGGGACCGTGAGCAAGACGACATGATCCCAACAGATGCCTTTGATCAGCAAGATGCTGAATTCCAGTGGACCCGAAACACCAGGGACCAGCCTGAGAGCATGTCCATGGGTGACAGTGCTGTCCAGAGGTTCTTCAGTGAGCTCCTAAGTTTACCCCGTAGATACCGAGGCAGAAGCAAAAAGGGTCTCTCCAGGGGCTGTTTTGGTGTCAAGCTGGACAGAATTGGGTCACTAAGTGGACTGGGATGCTAACTACTTACTATGGTAAGAGAAAGCTAGAGGCGGGCAGTCTGTGTGTTCATGTATAACTTGCGTAAATATGCAGAAGAGCAGATTTAATTCAACTTGAAGGAAATGGTGCCTTAAAGTAACTTTTACCCTCCTATTGCAAACACGGTTTACTAATTTTACCCTCCTCAGAATTCACCATCAGCAGATGTATACTTAAAACCTGCAAATGCCACATCTCTGCTTTACCTGCTTTCGCTCCTTTCTCCAAGTCAGCTGCATACATTTCATCTTGTCACAGAAGCCAGATCAGAGAGGTTTTCACCATCTCCCCAGGGATGCTTGTGTCAATCCAAAGAAACTCCAAGCAGAACAGTGGAGCTGAACCTGGCCCTAGAACAGTAAGAAATCAGTTAATTTCCATGCGTGAATTCCTGTCCACTTCTCTTTCTTTTACTTATTCCTCTGCTTTCTTGACAGGACTGACTTTGAGGTTTCAAAGGACCTGTTGCTTTTCATGAGATATTCAGCCCTTATTCACATTGGCTCCACCAATCCAGCTACTACATGATGTACTGAGCAAATTGCACCCCACGTCCCCTGAATTACTTGGCCAATAGAATACACCATTGCTGTACTGCCTATTTGTAGCAGAGTAATACTTTGTGAATACCTATCTGAAACTACAAAAAATGTGTACTGTTTGTGTACTAAATGTATAAATAAATCTCATTATGTCATAGATAATAAACTGGTTTCCATAATTTGGTGAATTTGCTGCAAGCCTTTGCTGAGATTCTTTCATGTATCTATTCCTGAAACAGTGACCCAGATTGCAGTTAGACACAATCCAAGAGAATTTAGAAGCATTTCAGAGGGCCACTTTCTGGTAAAAAGGACTTTTTAGCTGCTCGCTCTCTCAAAAAAAAAAATTTTAAAAAAGATACACTCAATGAAACAATCCCTTTTTTTTTTTTTTACCAGAAGAACCTTTCTGAAGTTAAAATAAAGTATAATGGGAACAAAATTGACATAGCCATCTTCACAAGAGTCTCACCAGAAACGAGGCCACAAAGGTCCGAGTCTTTGACCACCACAATTGAACTAAAAGGGTAGCTGTCTTCGCTGACTTCGGTAGAAAGCTGTTACTCTGCATTTGGATCTGCCACCAACAGAGGAATGAGAGCTGCATTTTATGAACATAAAAACAATTGTGTCTTACTAGTATAGCTCACCTTGTGCAAAAAAAGTTACCCTTCTTTGAAGAAAGTTCAAGGGTACCCTACTCTTCCATAGGCAGATCCAGATACTGCAAAGCATTTTTCTAACAAAAAAGTAAAATCAAGATTATACAAAAATTGTGTCTGACCTGTTCTTTTTTTTTTTTTAAGCAAACCAAGTATTCACTGAATCTAACTATGAACAAATCTGAGAACAGCTACTTGGCAAACATCCTGAGCCAAAGGAATTCTGTATGAAGGCTGGTTTGCCAAGATCATGACTGTGCTATCCTGATGTTGATGAGAGCTGCACTCTGCAAGCAGCTCCATGGAAATCCATGAGGCTGCTCACACAAATGTCTATGCTGACAGTCACAAATGAAGGCACAGCTGTTCACTTCCAGCCTTTTGCTTGGAGTGGACAGATGGGCTACACAGTTGTACTCCTCTCATTTTCCTGCCCACAAGACAGATGCTCCCGGAAGAAAATATTCTGGTCATATGCCTATTCCTAACAGGACCCCTGGATATAACCTGCAACATGGAGCACAAACACCTATGCAAAGCAAATTCATCAGCAACCCTCTAGCTGCACGTGCTCCAAATCTCTGGCAGTTCAGCTCTCATTAAGAAAGCCTGTCTGCACAGAGCAGCTAGAAGTCTAGTTTCTGGGCCTGCCTCAACCACTTAAACTCTATGATTTGGTTCTACTCCTTCTAACCACAATTCCCACAGAATGAAGGCAATCCAGGATCCATTAGAGAGCTACTCAGAGCCAAACTAGAGAAAGCTTCCACCCTGAAACTGCAGGCTTGCTCTAGGAAGGACATCAGTACAACAAGCTCATAAACGTATGTTTCAACACTTAAGAGCTGACTATCAGAGACCAGAAAGCACAGAATGGTTTGTTAATACAGACACTCTCCCCTTGCACAAGCTACCAACGCCTTCTCTCTCTATTTTCTTGCAATCTTTTACCCTTTCAATATCTCTTGCACATCTAGAAATTACCATTAATTCTACCTGCCTATGGCTATTCCATCCTCCAGAATCTTTCTCTCCTCAGACCAGTGGTTATGAAGCTACCAACACAAATCCTGATTAGAAAATTCAACAACGTATTCTGAAGGCTTCTTTAGTTAACTGTTTTTGTTAGGTCTTATACTGTTTGCTACTTACTCTGTTTAAGTTAACTTTGATAACAAAGCAGCAGCAACAGTGAAAATACCCTAAACAGACACTTGCTGGCAAGGAATTGTCTCATCACTTACATAGGCACACCTGAGTACAAGCTCTCAAACAATGGAATAGCCCACATAATGAATTTATTATACTCTGTGTTGCCTTTCCTAAGGAAAACAAGAAAATGAAGCATTTCACCAGTCAGATGAAGAATTAAAGTGGGGAATGGAGGGTGAAAGAATAAATCAGTTTTCAGCATAATTCACATGTCAACAGACAGGCTATGCATGCCTTAACACTAATGCTGCAGTCTGATCAGCGTGAACAGCTTTTCTAGATGGAGCCCCATAGACTGCACTGTAATAGGGAAATTATCCTGGAGACCTGCAGTCTTGTTGGGCCACACAGGTAACATTCTCCCTTGCTGTAGCTTCCATCATACAAAGATGTCTGCCCTGCACAAACATGAGCAAAGAGATTTCTGATTTCTTGTTCTAACTTAACACACCTTCATACAGACAGGAAGAGATTTGCACTTCTTTTCCCCCAACACACAACAACTTATGCTAAGAAGAAGCAGACACACTTACTTGTGGGAACCCAACAGGAAGCATCCAGCTTTCTTGAAGTCCCTCTTTGGGTATGCTAGCCCCAGGGCTGGCCCAGGTGCAACCCATATGGTGGAAAGGTTAATCCACACAGCCCACGGACATTATGGTGTCAAACAATGAAGAGTTAGGATCTTGTGACAGTTGTTGCTAATTGGAAGTTTACAACCTCCTTCCTAATAATCCTGGGTCTGATAGTTTGCTCCTAGCTCTCAGTAACCCTAGGAGCAGGCACATTCTCATAGGCATAAGAGCTTCCTCATGTTGAAATTTTGACACTGAATACATCCAGTCAAATCCAATGAAGGGCAAGTGGTACTGGAGTTTGTTTCCTGACTATCCTCAGCCTGTTTCCAAACTCAGCTACACTAACATAAACTGTGGGTCATCAAAATTATTTGCAGATAAAGTAACAGAGGTCAGAGGAAGTTGAGAACTGAGCTGTGAGCTCTTGCAAAGAGAATCCTACAGAAGATGAATAAGAAACAGGTAAGTGCTCCAATTCTGCAGAGGCTGAGCTGGTAATGTGCCATCCCATCACCTGGCATTTTGTGTGAACATTTTAAAAAGCCACTTTTCAGAAAGCAAGAACAATTTATCTCACATAAAAGGCTCCATAATTAGATCCCTAGGACTGAAGCCAGGTGTGTTTGTACTTTAGGTAATTTGCTGAGTTCTATTAGCATTTAAATAATCAAAGCTAACCTTTGAAGTTAGCATGCCAGTCAGATGGGGGAAGCTCATCTCTAGCTGTGTCATTTCCGTCTCCACTAAGCAGCAGTGCATGAGTTTACAGACTAGGATTACGGAAGTTGCTGAGGAGAAAAGCCTGCAATAAAATTACTCCTACACAGAAAGAAACATGCAGGTATCTTTCTCAAATGTGTCTGCTTTTGGGGTACCTGCTTATAAGTGATGTTAAGCAGCAATCAAGGTTTGGTGTCATCCAAAACTCAAATCTGTCTGGTTTATTATTAGAGGGCTAAATTGTATTTATTTCCCTTGGTCATCACACAGATCCTATACACTCTCACTGCTTTATCCCTTTTTATTCCTGCCTCTATTACATGCAAAATCAAGGATGATGCACATCCTCACCTTAGCTATCTTCCTTTATCAACAGAACACTCCCACCTGATGCGAGCTTCCTTCATTCACATACCGTACTTTCAAAACACACACCTCATTTCTCTGCCAGATTCTCCGTTGCTGTGCTTTAAACAAAACCACCTGCCAACTGTTAAGACTGCTAGATGCAGAGATCATTGTCCCACACCAGCTGATATTGCTAGTTTGCTTCCAATCTAAGATAAATTATGCCAGCTGTGGGTAGATTTGTGGAACAGAAGGACAAGAAAATGGGGGAAGGAGATGTAAAAACATAATGTACATTGTCACTTGTTCATACAGCACTTTGCAGTAGTAAGTCCACAACAGCTTGGTTCAAAATCCTCTGAACTCAGAGGAAAGGCTTTGGCTTTGCTGAGCTTTAGGACAGTCTCTGAAATAAAGGCTCAGGCAGAAATCACTGCATATCAAGTGAAATCAGAGAGATTTATGAGTGTACTGGCTAAGCAAACGAGGAGGGCAGAAGGCAGACACTTAGTGTAATTGCTTCAATATTACCCAGACAGTGATTGAAAGGACCCTGTCTGCTGCTCTACTGACTGGATACCATGGGTCCCGCCTTTCATTCTGTAGGGATCTAACAGGGTCATCTTGATTTGCACCCCAGGACTAGTGAAAATTGTACTCATTTATAGTTGAAATTTGCCATTCACACAGGAGAGACACCAAAAGTTTTACTGAAAGTTAATAAGAAACTGCTGTAAAGCTCTGAGGCAAAATAAGAGAGTTTCATACAAACAGGCTGCCTGTTCCAGTCACCAAATTGGTAATTCAGACACTTTTACCTGGGGAGCCTAAATCCAAAGGTCTACAAAATCTTTCCCAAAGGGGAAAGGCCCCTGGGCTTTCTGGAAAGACCATTTGTTCTACAGGAATTTCTCACTCC